TCACAATAATAAAACCATAATAATATCACAATAACCCAACAATAACACTAACATCAATCGTTAATAAAAATAACACGAGAATACCGCAATGTTAATACCCAGTTAACACTATAAACCATTACCCCACAATAATACCAATAGGAAGGATAATGCCACCATAATCACACGATAATAAAACTCTCTTCAATAGTACAATAACACAACAATAAAACCATAACAATACCGCAATAACCCCATCATAACACTAACATCCTTCGTTAAAAAAAATAACACCGGAATACTGCAGAGATACTACCGCAAAGACAATAACACCATAATATCACAACAATAAAACCATAAAGCTGCAGCAAAAAAGTCTCTTCAACAGTACAACAACACAACACAACAATAAAATCATAAAAATATCACAATCACCCTACAATAACCCCAACATTCCTTATTAATAAAAATTACACGAGAATACTGTCCAACATTCCTTATTAACAAAAATTACACAAGAATATTGCCAAGATTTGGATTGTTAAACACAAGCACAGAAATAATTTTGAATAAAACTAACATCTGATAGACCCAGAAGAATGCAATAAAAATTCCAAATCAAAAAATAAAACTATTAAACCTATGATATACCTAAGATCTGGATTACAAAAACTCGCACAGATCAACAAACTACATAATGGAGAAGCAGAGAGAATTTGTACAGATCCAGTACAAGAAGCTAAACTCGCACAGATCTGGAAGAGGTTGTCGTTCTCGTCGTCGGCAGAGCAGTCCTTTTCGGCAGCTCCAAACCCTAAAGTGCGAAATTAAATCTGGTTATAACCGGGAAAGAGCCTTATGCATTAAATTTTCCTCAAAAATGAGTATCGGGTCGGGTCGGGCATAAAAAACGCTTATTTTTAAGCTGTAAAGCCACGTGGAATCGCATTCCACGTGGCAAATTTTTATTCGGTACCGCATGTAGGGGTTCATGCGGTGCACGTACCGAATAAAAATTCCTAATTCATAAGGTAATTTTGTTATAAATCTAAATAAATGGTATATTTATTTATGCATCACAGTTGTATAAATAAGTTTCTAGCGTTTGTGTAATCATAGAAGAAAAAAAAAACATATGAATATGAGTACTTGATCAGAAAAAAACACCTATTTGTTTATTATCTTCTGATGAGCATTAGTTCGAGATTTTCATTTAAATGATTATTGTCAAGCAAAAGAATTGAGTTGCTTGGTAAAATATAATTTACTAAATTTGTAGTAATATATTTTTTATAAATATCACATAAATTTTATTTAAATTTTTTACTAAATAAATTAGACTTTTCTTATGAGAAATTCTGGATAAATTTTTTTGGCATCATTTCTTATCAAGGATAGATATATGCCAAGTACATTATTTTGATTGTTTCTAAATTGTGGTCTCTAAAACTAAGGTATTATTAAAAGGCATTTTGCATTAGTATGAATAAGCAATAAGAACCAGGTCATTTCTGTTTCTATCTTTTAATCTATCTGATATAATAAAATAAAATAAAAATAAAAACTAATACAAAAAATGCACCAAAATATATAGGCCTCATTTGGTTGAACATTTCTTTTAAGGTGAAAATTTCTATTATTTAAAGATAGTCAAATATTTCCGTTAAATGGTAACTAAATATTCAAACTTTTATACTTCTAATTATTATGTATGAAAGGCGTGGCTGAATCTAAAAAGTGGAAGAAGGATCTAATTTAGAAGTACGATCCATATACTCATTGCCATTTATGTATATTATGAGACAACGAAGGATCTAAATGGAGGTATATTTTGAGCCAAGAAGCGCTTTAATTGTCTTTTGGATCATCCAAAAGGCATAATATGACTAAATGCAAGAAGGCTCCTTTAAATGTCAAAAAAACAAAAGAGAAAAAAAAATGAGATAAATGGTATCAAAGAGAATTTAGATAAGGTTTTAAGAGATAAAATCATGCACACAACACCTAATAGGGTTGCACTTCTAAAATTAAAAATGTATTAAGAGAAGTTGATTGAAACTATAAAGAGAAGTTTTAATAGATTAAAAAAAAAAAAAAACATCCATAATGAGGGTTTGGTTTATTTTGAACTTCATTCGCTTTTATTGTCATTTGAGAAAGAGAATATGAGATTGTCTCAAAAGAAGGACATTAAAATTTTGAAGACAAAAAAAAATACTACTTGAATTAAAAATAAATTATATGAATGAAAGAAAAGAAAATGACTAACAATTCCCCCTGCAACTTGTTTTATAAAACTTGAGAATTTATGCAATTAGCTTTAATTTTTACAAAAACGTTTTTTTATGCAAACATAATGTTTCTTAAATCTTACATCAAACTGCTACACTATTTTTAATCTTTTAATAATTCCTATGCATGATAAAAAAATGTTAAAATATTCAATTTTTGGTTTACTTTTGATGTTTGTCTTCAAATTAGATATGCACATTATATCTCTTTTTTATTTTATATCAAATTTTAAGTCAATTATTAAATATTCCATATTTCAGAGTTGTTATTAAATATATCACTATATTTAATGAGAAGTATTGCTTGATGTAATTTACATTCGATTAAATAAATGTCTGCCATACATATGATTTATAAATATGAGTGCTCAAGTTAACTATAAAAACGCCAATTTGAGGTCATTGCATTTATGGAGAATGACAATTTATAAACCCAACGCTAAATAGTTAGGATAGGCCTAATGATGTTTAGCTTATTATAAAGACTTCTATTGTAAACTTATGGTTGCAACTTTGAGTACTATAATAAAATAAATGATGATAATCATGATTAGCAGTGATTAACAGTTAGAAATGTATTAAGAGTACTAAATCAATAGAGAACCATGCATCATAAAACAACTTTAGAAAAAATTTAGCTTCTATAATCAAAATTGTCAAGGAGGTTCCTCAATTATAAGAGCAACCAAACAATGAAGTTGCCTCAACATGTCAAAATAAACAGATGTAATGGGAAAAAAAGCTTCATTGACAACCAAGCATCGAAACCAAAAGTAATTAATTTAGGGTTTCAGGGAAGGAGTTGAAATCTAAATTGAAATAAAACATGCACTGACCAAATTCTTCATGCATCGAAAAACAAAAAAGATCACATAAAATTGAAGAAAAACAAGATTAGAACAAATTCCATCAAGATTCTCTTCACAATCACAAAATACCTCCTGGCAAGAGGTATTTCAAAGTAGCCGGGTAATATTGAGTCCAGTTTGACTGAATTAGTCAATATTTTGGTTTTGGCTCGATTTTAGTTGGAGCGGCCCCACCCCCCCCCCCCCCCCCCCTCATGTGAAGACGATTTCAATTGAATCGAACTAACATTACGCAATTCATCTTTGCCTCTGATCAAATCCATTTCAACCTATTGTCGACTAAATTTCGATCTATGACGACGAAGTTTCAAATCCCTGGCATAATTATCAACCCTAGCAAGCAGCATTACCAGAAACTATCAAGAATGTTTGGTCGTCTGAACTCAACACCTAATCATTGCTCCATGTCCACGATAGATCCAAACTCCCGCTGAACAAAACTTAAATCTCAGCGCCTCTTGAAAAAAAAAAAACAAAATACAAATAAACACGATAGGCGTATCAACCAGACGCAATTTCTATACCTCCACGACTGAGGGATCGACGGTCGCATACTCTCGCTGGAAAACGTACACGTACTTGGCTGGCGGCGACTCTTCTGAAAAGGAAACCATTTCCTCCGGCGTCTCCTTGAGGCGATTTGAAGCAGCGATCAGCATCGGATGTTCGAGTAGAAAGGGCAAGATCTCGTTGCCCTAATCAAGAAAGGAAAGAAAATGACCAAATTGAGGCGGGTAAAGTGCATCGTTTCTTGATGGAACGCACAAAAATGAAAGAGAAGAACCTTAGATGAGGTCTCGGGGGTGGTCAGAGGACGGTCTTCGACGTAAATCATGGTTGTCTGGTCGGCGGCGAAGACGATGGCTGCGCAGCTTGGTGAAGTGACCGTCGCAGATTTGGAGTGGAGTTCTGCTGCTTAGGTGGGGCCCGTGTGTTTGTGTGTTTGTGTGTTCTCTCTCTCTCTATATAGAGCTTAAAAAAAGAGTGAGAGTAATATATTTAAAGAATTATCTATGAGTGAATGTGATCGATTCAAAGAATTATCTATCTCAATTTTCAATAAAAAAAAGAGCTACTACATTTAAGAGCCTGAAATTATTGTGAAATGACACTTATAACGCTTAGTTGTTCGACTTTTGATCAGTCAAATTTTTATCTATCTATTCCTAATTGACAAATCATTGACAGACCATTTTTTTTGTTGACCGGAAAGAATTATCTATCTCAATTTTCAATAAAAAAAAGGAGAGCTACTACATTTAAGAGTCTGAAATTATTGTGAAATGACACTTATAACGCTTAGTTGTTCGACTTTTAATCAGTCAAATTTTTTTCTATCTATTCCTAATTGACCAATCATTGACAGACCATTTTTTTTGTTGACCGGCCTCTGATCGTCGGCTCTTAATCAATAGTTTCTTATCGGATATTAGCACTTAATCGCCCGCTCAATCGGTCTTTGAACAGTCGCCCGCTTGATTGGCCTCGTACCTTCTATAGAAGATTCGATCAAACATATTTCTTCGATACTATATATATATATATATATACACACACACACACACACACCGTGGGTTTAATTCTTCAATTGGGCCTTTCAATTGAATATTTTAGGTTTATTGTACTGATAAATCCATCCTTTTGTGAATATATTTAATTATTTAAAATAATATTCATTTTAATAACTTAAACAAATTTTTATTATGCTTATAAGTCCCAAATTAGTTGCATTTTATAATATTGAAATAAATAATTTCTAAACATCCACTTAACATGCACAATTAATCTAACTTTATAAAAAAAATAATAATAAAATTAAAATGCAAGCAAAAAAAATATCAATCCAATCATGACAACCTCTTCATTCCATATTAGAAAGCTTCAATGCACTTAACGAAGGATGATAATATTACATACGAAGTTAAGATACATCTGAATTTCATGCACGACATTATTGCATGATGTCGTTCAACATGCATACGACAACATACAACAATGTTGTCCATGAAATCCAAATACAAATCTGAACCCACCCTGTAAATAGTAATTTCTCAAACAAAACGAGTGATTTTAAAATGCAATTAACATGGATCAAATCAATATTTGTCTCATCACACTCTACAAAAATTCAAATAAATATTACAAAAATACCAATAATATTACATTAGCAAAAACAAATTGATTCATGATTTCTTTCAAGATTAAATCAATAAAAACTCTCACTTTCAAACATCAATCCTCAAAGCCTCAAAGACAAATCCAACCCACAGTCACCAGTACCCAAAGTGAGTTCCAGATTCACGGAGCTTTCCTGCACATTCATGGCTGCCTTCTCCCTTCCTCGAAGTAAATTCTGCCTTCTCATCTTCTCTATCTCCTTCCTGTGTGCAGTCTGATGTCCTCCCAATGCCTGCAACGTTGAATAGACCTTACTGCAATAAGAACAAGCATGCCAATCATTTGAGATTAGTCTTGATGAACACCTATCAGATGTTCTTCTCATTTTTAGAAGAGGAAAGAGAGGAAGCAATGGAGGTTTTTATGTTTTGTTAGAAATGGAGTTTTGGAGAGAGAGAGAGGAGATATTTGGAAGGAGGAAAAGATGAGAGAGAAGTGAGAGTTGTTCAGTGGCTTTTGTTTGGTTTATGATGAGGAGATGAACATGGCCCTTTTATGCATGTATCGTTTGGTGGAATGTCTTCGGAATGGTAAAGTTTTCTTGGGGAGTAGATGTGCATGAATTTGGTCTCTTTTTATTGATTTTTTTGAATAGATACCTCTCAATTCTTATGTATTTACATATCTAACTGTTGAATATTCAATTGTCCGTGAATTACACTCAAAGAATAAAACATAATGATGAATAGTGTCCCATCTTCCTTATTATAGAAAAGATAGTACAATAGTGGTATTATATCTTTAGCTCCATTTGGAGAGGGTACTTTCTGGCTCAACCGACTAAGCTTAGTTGACTCAGATTGAAAGGGTCAGCACGGTCGGCTGAGCTTAACCGATAGGGTTCAATCAACTGATAATGCTTGGTTGACTATTTTCGATCCATGGTGAGGAGTCTTTGAGTCTGTGTGTGATGCTCGGAAATACTTTCTTGAACTGATACATCCATGGAGTGGGTTCTACTGTGGAATATGCTATTTGCATCGAGTCGGCTTTCCTATTGTGGATGGCTTGGACGTTTCTTATCTTATTTTCGGTTGCATTGCTTGCGCTTGGATCTCCCAGTTGTTTTCTTGTCCACAATTTGGCTCGGTTGGCTTTGGACTAGTTGACTTGGCTCGTGTGGCATGACTCGTTTGAACAGGTGGGCCTCACAATCTCTCTCTGCAATGGATCTACCTCCATCGCTTTCTTCTCTTTTGGATCGTTAGATCTCTTCAAGATCAGTGCAGACATTTTTTTACATATTTTAATTCTCTAATTCTCTTCTTTAAACCGATACTATGATAAAAAAAGTGAATTTAATGTAAAATTACATCTCATTTAATTTTAATTAGTGATTCAATGATTGAACTCTCTTGACTTTGGAGCCTTTAATTCTTATAAATAGGGTGCGATGGGACTCCTTCCCATTCCTAATTGCTCTGCACCTCCCCTTGTTCGAGTCAGACAGATTTTATGTTCTAAGAGTTACGATGGACAAACTATCAGAGTCCCAAGCTAACATTCCCATCAAGAATCTTATTTGAACAATCTTCATAAAATTGAAAAAAAATATGCGATGTGTGTGAAATATGTGATAATTTGGCAATATTATTCTGCATTTTATTTTCTTATTTGTTCTCTATGTTTTTTTCAGGTACTTTCGTGTGTGCTTGCATAATACATGTATTTAATGATGCATTAATAATAACGTGTATATGTGGATCAAATCCATGCCATGAGTGCTTATGAGACACCTAATTGGTGCCTATGTGCCTCCCAGTGGTGCCCACATATGAGAGATTAGTACTTCCGTCGTCCGAACGCTTAGCACAGCGGAGGTCCGACCTCTGTTGTATCACGGCCGTCACCCGGACGCAGCTCGGCCTCCGTACGACGAACATAATAATTTTTCCCCACATACAGAGCAAGTGACACCAAGGCACCACTATTTTGGCGAATATGCACCACCCAATGCCTTCCAACGCCTTCCATATACATTCAAAGCCAGGCAATTGAATTCTTGGGCGTAACTAAGCCGCTCACACAAGTCTAACGGAGAGGGGGAAATGGTAGCACCGCTTTTTGAGAATCCTAGCGTCACATTTGAAGTCTAAAGATGACAATGTACATAATGATAAACATTTTCATGCCACCTTGATGGAATCCTTACACTGGCCAGGAAGTCGATGTAGTTACCTCTTGTGTGGTGATCCATGGACATATATGCGGGATCCGTAGAGAGGGATAAAAATTATGGCTTGTTGGTTGTATCCAGCGTTCTTCGTCGTTTGTGAAAGGGAGCAAAATGTTGTAAAGGAGAGCATCAGAGGGAGATTGTGAGAGTGAGTGTGAGAGTTCTGCTCAGGATAATTCAAGAGGATTATCTGGGAGTCTAGTGCTCTTAAGTAAACTAGGAAGAAGAGTAGAACGAGAAGAAAAATGTAAATCAAGGTGTAATCTTCCCTAACATTTTTTTTTTCTAAACTCGTGTATTATATTTACTTTGAGTAATAACATGTGTTACCTATTGTTTGGAAGTATGATTAGTTACTAATTCTCTATTCTTCTATGGTTTGGGGAGTTAAAGTTTGAGGGTTTAATTATTATGCATGTGACATGTGTGAAATTTTATTATGGTGAAGTTTTAACCTTTCAAGTTCATTGACATTCAACCTGGCTAATTGAGTTGTTAAAATTCATTGTGATCTTGGAAGAATATTTAGTGGAAGAACTTGGTTAAAGCTCATTAACATAGGAGAATGCACTAGATGAATTTAGCCTATTTCTGACGGTTCAAAGCCGTTGGTTAATATTATGCAACCGTCAGTTAATAAATTTCCGACAAATTCATGAAAGATTATTGGGCGTAAGTAAATCGCTTGTTGATCACTGGAAAAAAAAAAAAGATTTACTGATGAATTTTATCTCCTGATGGTTGACCAACAAACTATGGTCGTCATTATTAAATGAAAAAAAAAATATTGGTAAGCTGTCAGTATTCATTAATACTCATAACTAATGAACCAAAAACCGTAGGACTAGGAAAACGGTGACAGTTGGTAATATGCTGATAAATCATTGGTATCAACCGATGGTTTTAGTTGTCAATAAACTGGAATTCAAGAAGAAATAAGCAATTGTTTGTGGGTTTATAAGTTGTCTGTCTGAGCCGTCGGTCCATCAATTGGTCATCGAGGGGTTGTCGATCCATCGATTGGTCGTCAGTATACTAATCGATAGATATTAGGATTGCACGACAGAACGATCAAAATTTCAATTGAAAGCTATCAGAAAACTGTTTAATCATAAAAATAAATAAATATCCTCTTCTATCATTTTTATTTCCACATTTGTAATCGTAAAATCAAACCCAATGTGATATAACACAATAGAATTTACCAATCCAAGCATTTATAAAACTAAAATAATAGTTGATACATATCCAACAAATCTCAATCATCCGGTACGAATCTTGAGGCATGACATAGATCTCGAATCAACTTTTTGAGCAAAAAATATTCAAACTTTGATAAAAACTCATCCAGAACTCTGATTTCAACAAACTTACAACCAATCTAACTAGCTCAACAAGAAAAACCCAATGTTACCAAAATTAGTCAAATTTGAGTTAAATCAAACTCAGATCAAATCATTAAACCACTCTTGGAAGTTTTCTGGACTTATTTAGAAGATTAAACAAATGTAGAATCTAGCAAGTCTATAATCGAATCGAGTGTTTTGACAAGACAAATCCAACTCGCCCGAGATTGCTCAAT